AGCCTTCTATAGAAAGATACCTAAGCACTACTTGAAATGGCTCCATTAAACTGCCATTTATACTTTATTATTTATCATTTAAATTGCCATTTTTTAATTACTTGTCTTCTGGCATTTGCTTGATCTGTTCAGTTAATTGATGATTTATGCTTTCTACAGTACACATTTTAAGTGTTTCATGGTAGTACTGAAGCATAAACTTCTTTAATAAAAAATAACAACTTTGTTGAATCTATGGAATGAGCATACTTCACCGCCACCTATGGACTGTCAAAGAAATATAGTTACTGTGACATGGTTTAAAAGAGGAATGTACAAATAATAAAACATTAGAATCTGATTATTCTGATGATAACTATTTTATAGTAATAATATGTAAAGGGTATAGGAGGAATAATGTTGCTTCACCCATGCCTTTACTTAATTCCCACCTCTACAGTCTTAATTATTAATATTCACTACTGCTATACTTACTGTACCTGTATACACTACTATATAAAAAAACTTTGCAATCCATCAATTATCACAAATCGTATGTTCTTCTGGAAAAGATTGCAGCAAACTTAACAAACCGATAACAAACTTAAAAGACTGGATACATTGCACACAACAGAGCTAGTTACAACTATTAAGGGAGGATGAATAATGGCAGAAAGGTCACTCCTGCTCCTCATGAAATAGGCATGTCTTTGGAAGATAGAGGGATATTTGGAGCACTTAATGAAACTTACGGGACATGAAACAAACATGCAAACTCCACATATAAGGTTTGCCAGTTCCAAATCAAGGCACCAGCACTAATTACTGTGCCACTGAACTGAAATATCTAATTTTATTTAATAAGTTAAAAACAGAATTATAGATGGAACAGATGGATCAATACAAGAGATAATTAACCCAAGTTACAAGATAGTCAGCTAACAATTACAGTAGGTTAACAATTTAAAGCAATTACACATGTATGTCTGTATTACTGCAGGTTGTGATAAGAATACATTTTTTTTGTATTTGCAAGGATTATTGTTACATCTTAAGACCTCCAAAAGTTCTATATACAGGCAAAAACAGTGAGGGCAAGATATCAAACCTTGAAATAAAATGGGGAGCTTGCACAAAAAATATATTAATGGAATTCTTTAGACAGCCCATTTTTAACAGGTGGGTGCAGATCTTGTGACAGATGTATTAAACTGCAATATCAGAGGAAAGTCTAATCACAAAAATGTCAGGACTGCTAACACAGTACACTGCAAGTACATTTTGTAGAGAAGGCTGTTTTCAAGGAAGATTTAATTGAATTTTCTGTTACAGCTGTTGCTATTAGTGTTCCTTTACCAAATCCAACAAGGGCACACAAGTGCAAATATCAGGATGCCATCTGAAGCAGGCATTTCATCTCAATTAATTTAGAAGGTTCTTGTTGTTCATGTATGAATCAATTCCATTTTTTATCTTGATTTGAAGAGAGAAAATGAGTGTTCTCAAGGTTAATGAGCCACATTACCCATTTAAACAAAAAAGTATTTAAAATAAAGAGGCTTAGAATTTATAACAGCACACTAACCCCAAAATGATTAGCATTATACCAGTTTTAATTTACATGTACAAGACCTTGCTAGAATACATTATTCAAACTCATTATGATATTTCATATTACAGCAGTTCTGAATAGAGAATAAATGCAAATAAGGCAATGCAGTGACAAAAATAATGCAACTACAAACTTTCTGCCCAAATGCAAAATGCCAAGATACTATTTATGTTTTTGGAAGAGTACTTGGGTAAAATCATACCATACCTAATAATGCCTAAAAATGCAGACAGGGTGGAATAATGATCATTAGCTACTGTATACTATTCTTTGACTGTTATATGTTTTGGAGTTCCATACAAAATTACTGGCAGTTTTATTTTAGCAGGTAAGAACTGAAGGATAAAGCTGAAGCTGAAAGCCACTTCCATATGCACGTGGAAGATATGCAGTACTGTACTGTACATGTGGTGATGTGATAAAGACAAAGTAGTTAATCTTCTGCCCATCTTCTGCCCAATGAGAACAGCATAGTGTGATTTCTTAGTTCAGTTTAGGACGCATGACAACTTCAAGTCATATCGATAAACGAGACTTTGCAATTCATTTATTCTGTTTTTTTTAAATGTGATTATAAAATTGAAAAGACATGTGGACATGTATCATTGTTTTCAGTGTTGTATTAATTTCCAGCAATTTCAGCATTTTATCATCTTTGTTTTATTTTGTTCTGCAGTATTAACAGATGCTTTGACATACTGGAATAGCCTTTCTTTTGATTTTATGTAAAAGAATCATCACTTAATTTTTTTTGTCCCTCATTTATTTGATCAAACTTTTTTTAAACTTTTGTCTGTCCTCCCCTGTGTACCTTTATAATTGTGAAACATATCTCTGTGACTTTTAGGCACTCAGAAGTGTCCCATCTGAGTACATCTTTTCACAATCTGGAGTGGAACAGAATAAGACAATGAAGCTAAAGAACCAGTACACAGTGACAGTTCCCACTGTTTTATGCTGATCTTTTAATAGCTCAATTGTTTCATTAACATATGCGTTTCTGTTTTATTACAACTTCAATTTAGAATGCTCTGCTGTGAAAATTAATCATGCATTCCATTTCTTTAAGGACACTGTGCTGTGAATTTCTTGTCTTAATTTGAATGTATCAAAATCAAATGAGTGAATTTATATTATCACTCATTTGATTCTGATACATTGGCCTTCTGCTATGAAACGATACATTCATATCATCAGTCTTCCATAAATTGTTTCATAAATAACAAATGGCATCATTTCACCATTACTATACTGATGTATAATGAATACATAACAAATTTTACACTTTACATCAATAGCTCATTGGCCATATACTGTACATACAGGTACTGTATCTATTTTGAAGTCATGAGACAATACATTTGTTCGTTATTTCAATTGTATTGATGCTTGGTAAAATTCAAGGTGCTCAGTGTTTCATATAGAAGTTGAGTAGAATCCTCATAGTGAATTGATTAAGACTCTATATACTGTAAATAACAATTCAAAAGACTATCAAAGTATATAACCATCACCAGTATGTGTGATGAAGGTCGTGCTATTGTTGTGATTGAAGGCAGCCTGAAATGCTACTTGGAGGTTGAAAAGTATAGCTTTAACAATCAGCAGACTAGTTCACAGAAGAAAAGAAACCAACTATGTGATAAACAGGCAGAGGATCATCAGTACAAATGTATTGTCTCATTACTTCAAAATAGATACCTGTATGTACAGTATATGGCCAATGAGCTATTGATGTAAAACGTAAAATTTGTTATGTATTCATTGTACATCAGTATAGTAATGGTGAAATGATGCTATTTGTTATTTATGAAACAATTTATGGAAGACTGATGATATGAATCACACAGGCCCCAGGACTGTCACATCCTTCTGATCCATCTCCATAATTGTTCTGAGACTGCAGTGGCTATAGAACATGAAATTTCTCGGGAAAATAATCCACATTTCAGAATGACTGTAGCTGACCCTGCACATGAAAATGATCCACATGGAGGCATTTCAGGGGTAACATTCTAAAGGTGTTGTCAGTAGGTAGAACACCACCTACCGGTCCTTTACCACCACTTACATGAGCAATCTTGTTTTACCTTAGAGGTCTCCTTACCCAACACTGCTAAGCCCAGTCCTGCATAGTTTCTTTGATCTGACAAGATCAGGCTGGATGATGATAATGCTGAGAGTACTAGAATACAACTTTGAGAAAACCAAGATGAGAACCTGCAGTGGCCAACTATTCTGCTTGCTTCAGCGCTTTTACAATTGTGGTCAGGGAGATCGTTCCATAATGCTGAACATGTTTTCATTTTAGCTGTGCCACATTTCATACTGAAAACCTACCATTTTTTTACATTTTCTGTATACCTCTTAAATAAAAAAGATAAATATATATATATTAATATTATTAATATGAAACCCATGAGATTAAATTATTTTATTTTGTACATTATTATATTTTGTAAAGGTAATTTGAAAAAGCTTGATTTTCAAATCTTTCACACTATGGTGCTAGATTCAGGTATAATAATGTTATTATATTAATTGATATTTTATATAGATGCAAAAGTTACTATTTTTGATTTCTTAATAAAGAATGGAGAAAGCCTATGGATGCATTGAGTTAGCTTCAAAATAAAAATACAACATATGTTTTCAGCAGTAGTTAAAGGAATCAAGCATTGCTTTCTGTTGGCATTTATTAATCTTCAAACCACAAAAAATAATCCCTGGCTATGAATAATTCTTTTATTCAGATGTTTCATCTCTCCTTTGATTAAAGAAGATGGGACCAATAGAAAAATACTTTTTTTTAAAGAAATCTTTTTGAAGATCAAGCTTTGATAGTTGTTGATCAGCTTTATATTTAAAATAAAGGTATGCTTTTTAGTCAAGTTTAAAGGTGTGGTTTCACTTAAATTATAATGATGCTATACAACAGTTGTGTCTCAGAAAAGGGAGATGCCTGGATGAAACAGAGTGCAGATCCTCCCACAACCCCCCTACATTATAACCAAGCACTGATTGTTTCCTTTTCGATTTCAGTTTGCTAGCAAAGTGTAATTGCTTCAAATATTTTCTGTATTCTGATTAAATTTTCTCTGTCCCTGGTTTGTATGACAGAATTTGTTGTTTACACAAGAGTTAAGGATTATGGGGGAACTGAAAAGTGGTCACCACTGAAAGCAATATGATAGTGTTAGCTACCATTCAAATTAAAATACAGTTTTGAATGTGATACAAAAAAAAACAATTTACAACTGGATTTTCCATTGCTTTCATATTGGTTACTTCCCAATTCACTTCATAGAAATATAGGTACAATTAATGTTTTTTTTATATTGTGGTATTTGAAAAATAAAAATCTCAATGTATATATTTTTACATCCGCTGTATATTTCTTGCTTTTCAGATTTGTGAGCAGCCATGGCAAAAGCATACGAATTTAATTGGCAGAAGCCCCTCCCTGATTTTTTGCAAGCAGGGGCTGTGTTTGACAGATTTGAAGAGGTAAGGAGTAAGTCATTCTATCTGACATTGACTTTAATGATTTTGTATCTGATTATTTGCCCTTTTCAGTCATCTGTTACTGAATTCTGTTCCAACTTAAAAGGAAATAATGACATACAATAATAGTGAGGCTGTTTTTATTAACTTCAAGTTCTAGGAAGAAGCATGTGACTCAAGCATAGGTGTTTTATACAGTAAGTGTAAAATTAGTTGTTACACTGTATTGAAAATATTATGGGAGATTACTCATTATGACATTAATGACATAATTTTGTTTGCATGTTGTTCCCTCGTATCTTCTTTGTCCATTTTTGTGCTTTGAATTTTTGTGCTTTGAAGTGCTTTGAATTATGTTGTTTACTGTGTATAAAGTAAACCTAAAAGAGTTAAAAAGAAAATTAAAACTTAACCAGCAACATATTTTTTTTTTCAATGACAGTGACTTCCTTGGGATTTCTGTTTCACAGTATATATTCTCTGTTATCTACTGTATGTGACCTCCATTTTTTCACAGTGGTTACATTCCGAAACTGTATTTCAGAAGAATTGACTCAGATCTAACAGCACGTGATTCGACCCTAAAAATATAGGGCAGCAAATTTGGCCAGAAATGTTTCATTTTGTATGACCTTATCACATCTTTTCTGAACTCAGGCAATTTCAGTTTTGAACAAACTTCACAGTTTGTTGCATGATCAGTCCAAGAATGTCAAATGGTTCTCAGTTTATCTGAAAAAAAAAGGTTTATGCTTCTTTAATAAATTAAGGCAGTAAAGTAATACACTGCAGCCTGTAATGTGTAGAATATGTACTAAAGATCATCATTGGTTTGTTACATGGAATGCTAAGACTCTCTTTATTATAGTTTTAGTCTCATTCTAGCTCTGTTGTGCTGAGCAGCAAGTGAGAATTATGCATCTAATAATTTTGAAGAGAGGCAGTCTCAAGGGCAGTATCTTCCTCAGTATCATAAATTTAATAACATCTGATATTTACTATTCTCATTGCAGATCTGGTGAGTCATTTCTGGCCACAAGTTGTCATTTTAATTACACATCAGCCCCAGCATTAAAACAGTGCTTTTTCAAGCTTTTTCAATATTTCAGTGCAATATTTCAATCATATTGCTTTAGTTTGATTTTGTATAGAACACATTAAACTGCTCCTTGCAAAAGCGGTCATAAAATAGAATTAAAAAGATGCGATCCAGAGTAAAAGCCATTTTGTGGAGTTCAGCTTTTTACTATTACTGAGCTACAATTTTTTTTTACATTTACAGTAGCTACACTTGAGACTTTGTCTTCTCAAATAACATCACAATCTAGCTAAATTTTAAGGGTGTTTAAGCTGATCACTTTCTTGATTTTCCTTTTACTTTGCAGTTGCCACTTCAGCAACTAATCGGTATTATATTTTAAAGTACCCTCATCCATCAATTCAATGAGTTTAGACTTTTTGAGAAATATTACCCAATATATTGTTATGTGTTCTGGTTAAGATACACCACAGAGTTGTTTGATTTCAAGACTAAATACGTGCAGTCAGAAATTTCCAAGTATTAAAACATGCTTTTTGTGTGTTTTAAGTACAAAAGTGCTTGCAGAATGGCCTTGTTTACCAAAAAAAAGTCAGTAGTTCATGGGTTTCGTAGGTTGGATTGTTGAACGTGACTTTTGGTAGCTTGCAGTTATTGTGATGCTTGATTCTTGTTATCTTATGTAAACTACCAATTTCATGCTCCATTTTCAGAACAGGGAAAAATATGTAGTTTGTTTTTTAAAAATGTAAATTTACTTCAAAATGTAAATTTTTAAAAAATAGCCTGCTTGGTTTTTAACCAGTATGCAACAATTGTTATAGAAGGAGTGGAATGTATTTTGGAACAAACTAAAGTTACCTTAATTTAACTTGAATGGTCCTTTGAGGTCCTTTGGGACTCTAGCCTTTCGTTTTGTTAAATATTTTCAAAATGTTTTTTTTTTTATTTAAAATGTTTAAAATGGCAGTTCGTCTTCTAGACAAAACAAAATCTGAGAATTCTGTTAATTGTTTATTAAATTACATGTTGAAGGTAGCAATATTATATAGGTGCATTTTTATTTTGCTCTTTTCCTTAAAGGAAAAGAGTATTAACTTCCTGTATTGAGGCAGATATTACAGTATATTAGCCTTTTTGTAACATAATGTGCAAATTGTATTTCAGTCCTCATTTTGTGTTCTCAACAGGTGAAGCAATGTTCCATGTTAATTTCATGAGAACCTACTGTCTGGTATGACTTGGACATTGTCTGTGGTTACAAGACACCCACATAAAAACGTTTTTCCGCCCCTTTGCTGTGCGGCTTAATATTTTGGTGCTGTGTTAAAGCATGTACAATATCAAGTCATATTTACAGTTTAAATTAGTTTAATGTAGCCATGGCCTTTTGAATGTATAGATATTGAGGGGAAGTATAACCTATTTATTTATTATAGGCCACACTTGGCATACATTACATCTTTTCAGCAAAGTGCTTTACTTTTTAAGGTTAAAATGGAAAACAATATTTTTTGGGGAAAAAAGTTAGTGTTCCTTTTCTTATCTCATTACTTGAATTGCCCTGCAGGGACACTTTTTTGATTAACATCACAGATGCACAGTGTTCCATGAAATATGTAAATAAGGTACACTTTCAGACAAGTGCAGTTACTGCTTTTTATGAATCCCATAGTGGAACAGATGCTACTGCCAAGTACTCCCAGGACTCTTTCTTTTTGCCTCACCTAACTAAAACAAGAGCTTTTTTTATTTGAAGGCCTGTGTTTTTTAATGATTTGGGAGTATAATAAGCAATCTACATGTGATAATTAACTTAAATTAATTAGAGTGGTAGTGGTAGTGTGTATTATGTATTGGACTTGAAAGAATTGGCACATCAATTCATTTTGGTAGCATTTTCAAGATGCTTATGACAGGTGTTCAAATGAAGCTACTGTGTATGAGAATACAGTGCCATGCAAAAAGTGTTCAACACCTATAAAAACATTTTGAAAAACTGTTTTGTTTTTCCAAAATAATTAGTCAGAAATGGGGACAGTTACAGTATATGAAGGAAGTGCAGGAAAACCACATGAAGTTAGAAAGATTGAGATTTAATTATTCACAATAAAATTATTTTCAAAACAGGATTTTCAAATCATTTATAGATGATACAGTGTTTCAAGCAGGTTTTGTCTAGGATTCACCTGCTCTTTACTCTGTCAGTGCTCACTTCCATATGCTTAGATGCACACTGTTCAAGCTCTGCTAATAACAAGCACTCCTATAGCATGATGCTGCCACTGTAATGCTTGACAGCTGAGATAGTGCTGACTGGGTAATGTGCTGTGTTAGTCTTGCACTGGACATAACACTTTGCATTTACCACCAGAAACTTTGATCTTTGTCATACATCTGCACTATCTATCATATGAAATTTAATATGACTCTTTTTCACTATTGAATTTTGTCTTGCCACTAATCCATACCTGAATTACATAGGGGCCAAGATACTGTTGATGTACAGTATGAGTATGAGTAATCATCCCCATCTCAGAAATAGAATTTCACTTTTTTTTTTATGAAGTGACTGTTGATTTCACAATGGCATCTTTAGTCAGTTTCCTGCTTACCTTCTCGTTGGAAGGGTGGTCAGGTCTACTGTAGTTATGATGCATGTTTCACTTCTTAGTGATGGATCTCACAGTACTTGGAGGGATAGATAAGCTTTACCTGATGTATACTTCTCTACAACTTGTTCCTCTGCTTTTTTTAAAGTGAGTTGTGGCTTGAAATTCAGTATCTATCTGAGGACATTTACAGAGACATATATAGTCATTCAAAAGTCTAGTTAAACCACTCTACAGATAGATATCATTAAACTACATGTGTGATCTTTCAAATGATTAATTTGCCCCTGATCTACAGTAATTTATGGTTGCCCATGGCAAACAAGCAAACATCTAATTAAATTTATATATATATACAGTATACTGTACAAACTTTCTGCATTTTGAGCAGCTTGAAGTAAATTGGGTAGATTCTAAATCTAAATTCCTATTTTAAGGTGATGCACGATTACAATCTCAGATGGCAACAGAATGTGGTAACTTTAAAATGTATTAATAAGTTTGCATATATTATATTATCTGAAAAATAACTCAATAGATGACAGTTACAATATTATTATTCACTTCAGTACCATTGAAATTTCCTAATGGAATTGTCAGTCTTTTCTACCACAATGTGACAGAATACAGGGAGGAGTCTCAGCCCAACTCAACAGTAGTAATTATGAGCATTGGCTACGTTTGAAGGCTTCTATACAGCAAGTTTGTAATCTGGGGTTAAAAAGCCATGTTTTTTCTATTCAAAGTGCTCAGCACAGAGTGCTTTAGACAACTTTGAAAAAGGACAGTCCTTTTAATATTGCTGCAATTGGTGCCTAAAGGATGACGTTTAATTCAATGAAAATAACTGACAGCTGTGATTGATTTCAGTATTATCTTAGACCTTGGGGAATGACATCCAATTTCTTTCACAATTTCTCTTATTAAGCCAGCCCTTTGCGATGGCTTTCTAAGCTATTATACAGTAAATTCAATTTGCCAGGCAAAATACTAACATTTTTCATTGTGGAAAAAGAAAGCAGTTCAGTTTGGCATCTTAGGTTTTTAAAGGTTAAACAAGTTAAATGTTTCCAGAGCGGTTTAGTGAACAACTGCTTTATTAAAGGAAAGGTAGCTGCATTCTCCTTCCTGTAAATAACGTGTGGCATACTTATGTATTTTAACATTCAAAGCTTTTTAACATTTATTTATAAATCAATAGGGGGAATAAATTTGAGGTTTCAATATTTTAAAAAAAGATAAACAATACTGATATTGTTATGCAATTTCAATCTCTTATTATTCGCTGCAAATAATTTGATATATTTAATAAGTTGCTTACTAATTCATTTAAATTGGGGTATTTGAGCTTT